TTATCATTAGTACGATACATAAGCCGACGAAATAATTTTCGACGAAATGAACTTTCGACGAAATGATTGTCGACGAAGTGATTGTCGACGAAACAATTTTCGACGAAATAATTTTCGACTAAATGAACTTTTCGACGAAATGAACTTTCGACGAAATGAACTTTCGACGAAACAAACTTTCAATGAAATGTGTGTCGACGAAATGATTGTCGACGAAATGATTTTCGACGAAGTAAACGGGACCGACCTGAATGATCTTCTACTCTACCCCGTTCGTATTCGTCTTCTTCATGTTCCGGTTCTGTATCAGTACCAGTATTAGTATTCTCATAAGATGAGGTTTTTCTATTTAAAATTTTATTTCTTTTGTTATTGCTAAGAATTTTGTTGGCAGACGTTTTATTTTGTGCTTTTCGAAGTTGTTCCGTTAAATCCTTTAATTGATTTCGTAAATTTTTAAATAAGGTTAAAAAACAATTTCAAGTTTTTATTGAAGGTCTGTTAATATTGTAATAATTTAAAAAACCTTGTTCATCTTCATATTTCTCGTAAGTTTTACTTCTCCCTCTTTCAGGAGTTTCTTCTTCACTTGAAGAATGTTCGTTTATAGCTTTCCTTTTTCTTCGAGTAAGAAATTTATAATAATTAGTTATGATCAATTAGGAAAAATAAAAATCTACCTATTGTTATGTGTCATAATTAAATGTTAAAATAAATGAATGATTGAAATAAAATTTTTATTATTTAGCAAATCAATTATTTATAAAAAATAATTAAAAAAAGTTTAATATAAAGCTTAATTTAATTCACATGATCTGCATTGTATATATTTTCTGTAAAATGAGTTCAGTAAAAAGGACACGAAAGAAAGTTATCTGCACATGTGTAATCTATTGCAATGGCAATAAACTTGTTGATCCAAGAACTAAAAATAAACACGAAGAAACAGAACTAATACATCAATTGATTCCATCAAATGAGAAACCCGCTGTAAATTTGGATATGTATCATTCCAATATATATGGCAAATTTATTCCTTGTGAATTTACAACTGGAAATTATAATAAAAAAGATTATCTGGCAGTTGTTCCATTAAAAAGAAAAATAAATCTGTAGTTTGTATATCAGATTATTTACCGATTTTTGACAATGCTAATCATCAATGGATTATACAAAGATCGGTTGATAATCGGTAATCCCGAATTTTAACTAATTGGCTTATTCAAAAATAGTAGCAATTCAGAAAACCCGATTTTTATCAATTCTAAAAATGGTAAGAATCTATGATTTATTGGTTACATTTGATCAATTTGATAAAAATCGGGAGTATTACCGATTTTTCGTTTTTTTACCTGTGAAAGTTTTTATAAGTTACACATGATTCCCAAAGAAGAAACACCTATTACTATCTGACATATCAAAAGCCATTAAATTGTTATTAGATACAACCAGGAAGATTTTCTTAAAATAAATCAAAGTTTATATGCTAATTGTAACTGGCAAATGCATTTTATTAATTGTATGATAATGGCATAGATTAATAAACTGTTGCAATTTAATTATTATTTCTAAATAAAATTCTTTTTTGCAGAAATGCAAATAAAGATATTCAGATGAGTATTCTAAATAAGCAATTATATATATTCTAACAAATATCAGAGTTTGAGCTTCTAGCAACATTTAATATACTTATTATCAATTTTATTGAATTTAAGGGCAAGTATTAAATTATTTTTGCACAAAAATATTTATCATATTTTTTTCTTTGGATAAAATAGTGTCAAGACCCTATTATTATTTGGTAATTAATGGATTATTGAGTCGCAAAACTAGGATAAAAATCGATATACTAAGAAATGCACAAACAAAAAGTAAAAAAAAGGTGGTAATATTCTTTTGCCATATAACAATAAGGATTCTACTGATTGAATATTTGAAAACAAAAACTCATCACCAAAGCACTTTCAAGTAAAAGATGAAAAAAACCAATATCTTTTTAACCAAAAGAATCAAACACAATACCTTTATTTAATTCTCTCGTTTGCCAACTTTACTTTTGATTTTTTTATCAATTCCTTTAACCTCTGTAATTCTTCCCAATTCATTTTCTCCAATTTGCAGATCTGGTCAAAATTTATTTTTTACAGTGCGAGTTGTCTATAATAATGATAGACTCCTGGGTAATTCTAATTGAAGTGATAGGAAAATCTATTAGTAATAAATATATAAAATTTGGTCAATTAGAATTATCTGGGGCCTATAATCAAAATAAAAATTGATTTTAGCAAATTTGGTAAGGCAAAAATGAGAAAAGTTCGCTCGTGTAACAACGCGTCTTTAAATTTTTTTATCAAAAGGACAAATTGCTCAAAAAAAATTTTTCACCTACAGGTCGACTTGAAAAAAAAGTTAAATCTTTAGATTCTTTTACTTTTGGATTCTTTTATTGAAAGAAGAAGAATAATTTTTGAATTTATAATTTTCCAAATTATGACGAGTATTGTATAAAACAATTCATTTTTTGAAGTGGAATTTAATGATGATTTTCTTTTAAACCTGATGGGTGGATCACATGATATTTAAAATTTTCATAATTTTGGGTATAGACAACATGCACTGTATCAATAGTATCAGGGTTGTGTAATTTCGCTGTACAAGAAGAACCTCCGTACGTACGACTGACTTCGTACAATTGAGTTCGTACAGTTTCGTTGTGGTCGTACACCTGTATGAGGAAATTTTACATATGTACGTACGTACGAATGTACAATGTATCAGGAACGATGATTTTCTGCGGTGACAAAATATTACTTTGTAAAATCCTATAATAATATTATTATTAAGCCGATAACCCTATTATATAATTAATGGATTACCAG